GGGGAGCCAGAGGCTGTGGGAACACCAGGGTTACAGGCTTGAGTGCCCTCAGTCCCTGGTCTGACAGATGTGTCTGGGTGAAGGAGTTAATGTGGAAAAGGGCAAGTTTGGAGAAATCTGAATATGTATTCCTGCATCTTCTTCAGCACAGGCTCTGCCTGTGTTGGCAGTGGGGGGACAGCAGGTTTCTGCACTGCCACCAGAGCCAGCTGTTCCCTGAGGCTCACAGCCCTTGGGGCTTTGCCGTTGTAGCCCACCGTACACTTTGCTGAGGACACACTAATACGGAGTGAGGATGAGGATGAGGATGAAGAGCGGCCGTTCCCAGTGGAGAAGCAGAGGCTTATCCGCAAGGACACGCCCCATTATAAGAAACACTTTAAGATAACTAAACTGCCCAAGCCAGAGGCAGTGGTGGCACTCCTGCAGGGGCTGAACAGTGACGGAGTCCCCAAAGAGGAGGAGGAGTTAGGAGGCTGCAACAACAACGTGGAGCCCGAGGATCAGGAGGAAGCGTGGGATGAGGATGACAGAAAGAACGGAGCTTTGTCTGCTCAGCCGTCGGTGAAGGTAAGGTCTTGTGGGGACGGGGAGGGGTCAGAGGGGTGCCAGACCTCCCTCCTGCTACTTTGAGCTACCAGCCAGCTTGACGTGGTACCAGTGAAAACGTTGGCAGGAGGCTCCAGCACTTCGGGAAAGACGTGCTGTGGGTGGCAGAGCTGCCGTTCGCCCTGGGCCTCACGTGGTTGTCCAGGAGCTGTGACTTGTGTTGCTTGTGTCTGACCCCTGGCTGTGCCCAGGTTCTTGCACCCTCCCCATTATGTGTGATGTTGTGCTCTGTGCTGCAAGAACAATTCTTTCGTCCATCACTGACAAGTTCTTCCATTCCTTTCGTTCCTCCTCGCTTGCTGGTTGTTGCACCTCATTTGCAACAGGATGAGCTTTGTCCCTGGATCTAATCTCAGGCTTACGTTCAGGCTGCTCACACTTGTCTTTCTGCTGCAGCGCCTCTTGGAGAGGAGTGGGGAGTGAGAGCAGACAGGAGTGTGCCCTTCCCATCGGTTCCCCCCTGTGCCTGCCCAGCGCAGACGCAGTCCGATGAGGTGTTTGCTGGGATTTAGGGGAACTCGTGCTCTGGAGCTTTGCCGTTGCCACGGGGCCGTGGTGGGCCTTTCTGGTGATGCTGGGGGCTGATGAGGCAGGAGGTCCTTGGTTCCACCCCTCTGAACCACCGGGTCCAGTTAGGGACGCACAGAGATCCTTACTGGAGGAGCATCCTGCAGTGGGGTAGGAACGGACCGATGAGGGGCACTGTGAGGTTAGGGCAGCTCTCACTGAAGGTGACGTGACGATTTTGCGAGGGCTCTTTGGCAGGCAGAGAGCAGGGTGTGACTGCATCTCCATAGTCTGACACCAGCAGCTCTCATGGGTGAGGTGTGGGTCTCTCAGCTGGTGGAAGATGATGGAGTAAAATCCGTTGTTGCTGTTAGCACACACACTCCAGGCTGTTGGGGCCAGTCCCACCCCACGCTGGAGTCCGATGACTCTGGAGTTCAGAGTGAGCCGGGGAAGGTTCTCGTGTTCAGGTTTGCTTTGGAGCCCTTCTCTCCATGGAGGCTTGTCTGTCTGTGTGGGAGCTGGTTTGGTTTGTCCCTTGCTCCCTAGGAATAGGGCATGTCTGTTTGTGAAGTTCTTCAAAATGAAAAGGAGCTGCTGCTGCTTGTAAGAATGTGTGAAGCCATCCTGAGTCCCCTCCACCAAGACCTGCCATACTTGGGAAATGCCCTCACCCAAAAAGCTCGTTTTAGTCAGGGGCCCAAAGCTGAGATGTGCTGACCCGTTGGTGAAACCCGTGAAGGCTGCACAGGCATGGAGACCTCAGGTTTGGTGTATCCATCAGAAAGTCACCTTTGTGATCAGCTAAGCCTTCCGCCTGGAAACGGCGGGTTTCCCTTCTGTGGGTGGTTGGGTGCTTGCTTCTCGGGGGCAGATGCACCCACTTGCCCCCTTGAGCCACCTGCCAGGGATGGGAACATGGGGAGCAGAGTCCCTGCGCGGTGCAGGGAGCTTCAGGTGAGAGGTGCTGCCTGCAGGCACTGAAGGAGGTAGGATGGGGTGTGCAGGAGGCTGGATCCTTAACCCAGAGGGGTTTGTGCAAAGGGGGTTGGTTTTCAAGAGAAATTCTCAGGTTTCCTGCATTTGGGAGCACAACCCTGGGTGCCTGGCGGGACGCAGGGCTCCGCCGGAGGCTCTTCCTGGGGCCGGAGGGACGGATGCGCTTTGATTTGGGGTCACTCCATTCCTGTGCAGCAGCTGAGTGGCACCAGAGGTCTCTTTGTGCTTTTCCCCTGTGTTGTTCAATCCTTCCGTCACTGAACAGCTGGGGACAAAGGGGGTAGAACCAGCTAATAGCGTTCAGCTCGCGAGCTTGGCGATCCCAGCCTCAGGGTGCCAACGCAGGCGAGAACGCGGCCGTGGAGATGCGGCTTCCAGGGCGGAGGGTGCTGCCGCCCGGCGAGGGGGGCCGGCCGCAGCCCCGTGGCTGGTGGCCAGGAGCGGTGTGAGTGGGGCTGCGCTGGGGCTGCGTGGCCAGGCCTGTCGGAGCGGTGTGCGTCTGAGTGTTGGGTGGTGGTGGTAGTGGTGGCGGGTTTGGTTTATGCTCCACTAATCCGCATGCCTCTTTGCTGGTTCCTGTCCTAACAGGGGGTGTCGTTTGATCAAGCCAATAATCTGCTGATTGAACCTGCTCGCATTGAGGAGGAAGAGGTCTGTACCACTCCTACTGTTCTCTCTCTGCCAAAAATCATTCAGTCTGCTTGATTTGCTTCCCAGGCTCACCCATTGTTGTAGGGGAAACTGATCTCTCTGGGTCAAGTGGCTTCTGGACCTGACTGATCACAAACACACAATGATTGTTTCCTCCCCTGCTTTCACCTCCTTTCCCTACTTTTCCATCCCTGAGGTGAGAATGGCTGCTGCAGATCAGGAGTGAGATGGAAGAAATGTAAAAAGCCAAAGGGGGCCAAGGTGGAAAGTTCAGTTCCTATTTGCTGTGCACTGAGGAAAGAGAAGGTAGAAGAAAATGAGTGGGAGTGGTGGGTGACCCTGCAGTAGAGGCCTCGGGACTCTGCTGAGCACTGCGTCCGACCCTGGGGCAGAGGGAGGAGGATCTGACTGAGGACACTGTGCCATTGCAGAAGGGTGGGCTGGAGCTCAGGGCTCGTGCTCCTCATGCAGCCCCCAGGAGAATCCCCTCGAGTCTTCACATGCAGCACTTTAGCGTCTTGGGTGGCACTGGGGGCTCCGGGAAGCCCCTGGCACGTGTGGAGTTCCATGCCAGATTTTAAAGTCCTGTGTCTTGCTGCCTTAGCTCAGCCTCCAGCTAGGATTAACTTCCTGAGTTTGTTCCCCAGTTTTCGGAAGGCTTCCCCATCCCCTGGCTCAGCGGGCTTCCCGCAGGCAGGGAGCTGTGGGGAGCAGAGTGCTGCTGCCATGGGCAAGAGGCAGAGACTCTGCTCAGTACCAACGGCTTGTGAGAAGGTTTCTTCCCTTAGGACAGGGCCGTGGTCCCCGACCCGTGTGCTGCGTGGGAGTGCTGGCCTGATTGTCTGTGAACTTGGCTCTTTGCTACTCCCCCAGGTGTAAAACGGAGGGTTTTCTTCCTTGGTTTTGGAGAAAAACTTTCTGGGAGGGAGATGACAAATTCCTTCCACTTCAGGTGAAACATGAGCTGGCTCAGATGTGCTCCACTGTTAGTGTGTCCTGAAGATTTGTCCATCTTAGCTCTAGATCACTGAAAGACATACCAATATTTCCTGCGTTTCTTTTGCGTAGCTCTTCCGTCGCTCAGAGGTGAAACTGAGTATAGTCAGGTGCTTCCTGCCCCTCGTTTGGAAACTGCTCTTGGTCCTTCTTTACAGCCACTGGACGTGTTCCATTTGCAGAGTTTTCTTGCTCCTTGAGGTGCAGTGGCCCAGGAAATCTCAGTCCTGTGTCAGGGAATAGTCTGCCTGCATTGTCCTTGGCTCCGGCCTTGCTCCACCTGCTCTGTGGAAGTGCCCAGAACTCCCCTGGGGGGGCTGGAGAGGGCCGCTGGCCAGAGGCACCAGGTTGCTCTGGTGTCCCTGCAGTGTGGTCTCCCCTGAGCAAGTCTCTTCCCTCCCGGAAAAGAGCAACGTGCAGCTCCCCAGGACGAGCACCTGGAGACCCACCAGATGGGTGGTGGTAGCTGAAGTCGCCCCAGAGCAGCCCAGCTTTGGGAAGCCGTTGACTGTCCTGCAGCTCTGGGGAGCACTCAGCTCAGCGGATGCCTGCTGACCTCTCCAGGCAGGGGTGCTCTGTTGTCTGGGCACCTACCAGCTCGTGCGGAAGGTTCAGTCTCCAGAAACGTCAAGCTGTGGGCCTCAGGCTGAGAGCGCTGTAGGTGAGGGCTGGCCCTGGGCTCTGCCTGGCTGGGACCCCTGGCCCGTGCTGGGAGTGGGGTCCTGCCTGTCTCGGCTGTGAAGGGACCTCGGTGCCTCTCGGTGAGCAGAGGGAGGACAGCAGGAGGAATACTTGGGGTCTTAAAGACTGTTTAGCGTCAGAGTAGAGAATTAGCTTGGGAAGGGAGCAGTCCCAGGAATAGCATCTACCTGCTGTTCCCAGGGATGGTTTCCAGTCCTTGAGAGGAGTCTCACAGCTGAACTGGTGGCTGTGGAACAGAGCAAGACCGTCGCAGGGTGGGGAGCCTGGAGCTCCTTGAGCAGCACCTTCCTTGTAGAATTGTGTACAGCTCTTAAAGAAAGGGAACTGCTGATAGCATGTTCTTTAAGCCTAAACCATAAACCTGAGCCAAAGACTAACCTTGCCAGAGTAGAGCTGGAGACTGACTTTGCCGGCAGCCAAGGTGTAGGGAACCTGGTGCTGTGCAGGCAGCTGGTGCTTCCAGAGCTCCTTTAGCTGTTGGTGCCAGTGGGACTCAGCACAGTGAAAGAAGTAATTTTGTTAAAGCACGTGATATCTGATAGTGGGTATCTGGATTCCGCTGCTCACTCTGTCCTCAGTGTCTTGTCTCGGTCTCCATCTGCACTGCAGCAGTGGCTGTATCTGGGTGTAGGGAGGCTTTGAGAGGAGGAAGGAAGCGTATTGAGCTGCTCTTTGAGGGCACGACGTACCTGAAGTCTGTTCTCATATGATTTTTGAAGTGGTCTGGAAAGAGCTGCTGTGCAGGCTGAAGATAATAGTGGAAAGAGGGTCCCAGATCCCGTGTCAGTGATGGCTGCTGCTCTGTCTGCAGTAACGGCTGGTGTCACCCTCCTGTGACACCCACCTTCTGCAGGACCCCCCAGGGACAGAAGTCCCGAGGGGCTCTGCACTGCCCGCGGAGCTTTGCAGCGTTTCACTTCTCCCTGGCTGCTCCCCCAGCAGCACCAGGCTCCCCGGGGGGATGCTGCTCAGTCCCTCCCTGGGAAGAAGCTGGGCCGCTTGCAGGCGGGACAGACCCCGGCAGCTGCTGCTCTCAGGCGGGGTCGGAAGGGCGTCAGGGCCTCTTGAAGGCGTCTTGGGAAGTTCACCGTTTGTCTTGGAGCACGAGCCTGGTGCTTGGCAGGACCCTTGCTGGTTGCCAGAGGCTCGGAGTGGTCCGGCAGCGCGGGGGGGTGGCGCTGGCCCGGCACCGGGGCCCCAGCCCTGCGGCCGCTCACGGGGCGAGGCTGCGCACCCCTTGACACCATCGGCCGTGGGATTCTTACGTAGCAGGTGGATCTTCCTGCGATGTGTTCTGGAAACCTGAAACCCTGAAAAGACTAATAAACCTCTGCTGCGTAATTCAGGGAAGATCGTGTCACCTGTATTCGCTCAGCTGGCCCGGCCAGAGTATCCTTTCTGACCGAGCAGAGTACCCTCCAAGTTATGAAAAGATACAACACTCTGTTTTCTCTCATTCAATTTTTTTAATTACTAAAGTTCCCAATGGAAAAATATGCCATACTTTCTGTTTGAATTTGTCTAGCTTTTATTTATTGCCATAGGAATGTTTTTAAGACCTTTCCCTACTGGAGGGAAGGGCCCTTAGTATTCTCCCTTACGCCGGGACCCTCCAGCAGTTTGGAGGTGGGGGCTATAATCTCCTCTTGCAGATGCAGAGCTTCGGCTCAGGTATGTTGAGGCACGGTTTGAACACAGTTCACCTGCAGAGTGGCTGAGATTCCTCATGTGATTGCTGCTTCTTCATCTTAATGTATCGCTCTGGGCTGACCACAGATTTTATCTGATCTGGAGCTTGCTTAAGGGCCGGGTGGCAAACTCTGGAATGATTTCTCACACAAGTGCAGAACTGTCTGCAGAGTTTCCCCTTCCTGCTGTGGGACAATCGTCGGGTTTGCTCTCCCAAGTAGGAAGGACAGAAAGCAATAGTGTTCTGAACAGAGAGAGGAGATACAACATTTAAACAAAATGCTGCGGTTCGTGACTCTCACTTTTGAAATAGGAAAACTCAATATTCACAACAGAATATGGGTCTTGCTGCTTAGGATGAGGATTATACAAAAAATTGAGGCATTAAAATAACCCCTGTGGAAATGAATGGGGCTTAAGCATTTGCATGTCTTTAAAAACTGGTCCTTATTTGCTCAGTAATATTTCTGACTGTGTCGGGAGGGAAGAAGGATAACTCCTAGAATAGTTTCGGGGCTTTGTGATGGAAGCCAACGACCAGCTTGGATCTGGGAACTGAAATGAGGCAAGACTGGGGTAGGTTGCCGTTTCAGGAAGATACGCTTTAGTCAGAAAAGGGCTGTTCTTAATTCAGGAGCAACAAGCTAAATTTACAACGAAGATAACACAGATTATTTGGAAGAAATCCTGAAGTCAAGTATCCTGCAACCACTAGCAACCAGATACTGTACTCTGTTTCGTAAGTCAGTCAAACTTTTCATTAAACATGGGTAGTTTCTTCCTGTTCCTCAACGTCTGTGCACACACTCGCATTCTTCCTAGTGGGAGAAACCAAAAACTTCTCCAGATTTCTACTTCTGGATTGATTAGAAAACTTACTTTCATGCTGAACTTGCATCTGTTAATTCATTGTTTTCATTATATTTTTTGTCATGAAAAATCTCTTTTGTTCTGTCTGACCCTCTGTCTGCTTGTCCTTGGTATATTTTCATGGACATCAGTCACAATTCCTAGCCTTCATTTTGCTAAATTAAAAAACCCAAATTCCTCTGGTGTTCCCTTGTAAGATAGATTCCCATGGCCTGTATTTCTCGCTGCTCTTTCATTCACTTGTTTTACTTGAATTCACGTTTGTTGACAGTGGATAACATAACAGAGTTTACCCAGACTTTAGTTCACTAAATTCCAGTTTTCTTTCACTTCAAATGTAGTTTCTGGTCACAGAGGGGAATTCTCTTTAGGTACTCTGCATTCAGCATCAGGCTCCTCAGTGAGGTTTGTCCTCCAGACTGTTGCTGTACTTAAAGATGTCTCTGCTTGTAGGTTTTAAAATGAGTGTTTTATCTCACTGTCCCCTTGGACAAATGCTCTCCTACTGTGCTGCCTGCCTTTAGCAGCACAAAGGTGAAACAGATTTTAGAAGAAAGTTGTAAATTCTCCAGCCCTTTCAGTCTTTTAATTGTATATGAAATGATGGGTTAAAATGGACCTTTAGAACAGTGAGAAATTGTGGGGCTGAGAGCAGTTTCTAAGTGACAGTTTTGTAGTCAGAAATGATGCAAAATGAATGACTATACCAATGATAGAGTCCATCCCCCTGCTAGACGCAGGGG